TTTTTAAAAGATTTTATTTATTTATTCATGAGAGACACACAGAGGCAGAGATATAGGCAGAAGGAGAAGCAGGCTTCATGCAGGGAGCCAGAAGCAGGACTCGATTCCGGGATCATGCCCTAAGCTGAAAGCAGACACTCAACCCCTGAGCCACTCAGGCGTCCCTAAAAGTCATTTCAATCTATTTTAAAAGTAGGTATTTTACTTATAAGTTCACTCTATGTATTATAAAACCATTATATACTATTATAAAAACATGAATTATTTACTTGCTGAAATAAACTCTACTAGAAGTTACTATTCCTTATTTTTCCTATATTCACCAATTACTTAAATGATATAATCCTGAAAGTATTGCAAATCCATAGTGCTATCTAGAATCAGTACTACAAAAAATAAGTGGTATTCTAAAGAGATCTAGATAGAAATTCCACAATAAATAAGACTTGGTATTTAAATTCCTAAGATTGTTTCTTCTCTGAAAGGAAAAGTTGGGTAGCTTTAAAGACATCCTATTAGACTGGCCGGCAGAAGAAAACAACACTGACTTTCATTCTGCCTACATGAACAGAAGAAAACATTACACAAAGGATGAACATGATACAGTCTGAACATCTGCTGATGGTAACCAGTAAAGGAAAGCCGACTAAGTAGTAAAGACACTTAGGAGGTGCTCAGGCAACTTTACCTTAAAAAGATGTCTTGGGCACAGGAGGTTAAGCAGACAGATTCTGGACTTCCTATAAATTACCAATCCAAACTCTGGAAATCGTGCATGAAACACTTCGTTTTTCCCCCTCAATATAAAATTTCTACTTTTACAAACAGTGCAGTGATCCAAACAATAGTTTAATAAAAGGCAAAATAACTATTTTATGCTAAGTTAATAAAATGAAATCAACAATATCGGATGTTACCAAGTAAAGCAGGAAAAACACATCTAGCTTCCAGAACATCACATAGCAGTCTCCGTGAACAGTGCCCCCTGTATTGTGGGCACTACTACACAGTGTACCACACCGCTGTACTAATAGGTCCTATGCAATACAAAACCTGTGTGCATCTGTGCACAGTGGCCATAGCACAGCCCTTGCCTGCTCTGTCCCACACAGTGTATACTTAACACCAACACAGATCCTAGAAGAAAATAAACGTTGGGAGGAATTAATCAATTAATTTGATTAAATAAGACACTGAATGGCTACAAAGGATACACAAAGCTAGTGATGCCCTAAAGAGTTCTGCATTCTTCATAGACAAATACATGGTGTGTCCAAAAGTACACAGATTTTACAATCCGTACCTCAAATTCTAGCCTAGAACATACAACGTCCTACATATTTCAATTTTCACATCACATACCTAATAAATAGTCAAAATACTAGCACACATGCCTAACACAAAAGAACCAACTTGTGACATTTAAGTAACAAATTTCTTGCAAACAATATTTGTTTCAAAAAAGGTATGGCACCTTTTTTTGGCACAAAAAGGCCAAAAGAAGACCTTAACAAAGAGAGAAGCATATCATGTTCTTGCACAAAAAGATTTAACATAAAAGATGTCAATTCTTCCTTTGTTGAATTATACATGTTCAGTTAACATTAACAAAAAGACTGACATTTTTTAAGTAGACAGTTAATTGTAAAGCTCAAGTGGAAAAATATGAAAAGAAAAAAAAGATTCTAAAAAAGACCACTGTGGCAGAATAAGAGGTCCTACTAGACATTAAATATTATTTTTAAACTGCAGTAATTAAAAGAGTCTGAGACTGGTACAACCACATCCAGACCTCTGGAGGGGAACAGAAAGTCTAGAAACATGTGTAGTAATGGCTCTGCAGCAGAACTCAAATGAAGGAGAGACTAGATTATTAAAATAAATGATCTCGAGGTAGTTAACCATCTGACAAACAACACAAACAACGGGATCCATACCTCACAACCTACACTGGATACATTCAAATGAATCATAGATTTAAATATTAAAATCAAACCACGTATGTACTAGAAGACAAATGAGAGAATTTTCATCATGTTCATAACTACAGAACTAGTCAAATAAATTACATCAAATACATAAATTAGAATGAAGAAGCCCTTATGTCCTTATATGAAATGATTTCCAATTTTCATTGATAAGTAAAAAACAATAAAAAAAGAAATACCAGGATATATGTAGAATGTAAGGGGAAAAGATAATGGGGAAGGAATATTTATACTTGCCTATGAAAGGATACACAAAAAACTGGCCAACATGGCTCCATCCAAAAAGGGAAAATGTACAGCTAGAAGGTTTATATGGAAGCGGAGCTTTTTCCTATATGCTTTTTAAAAAATCCTTCAGGTTTTAAACCAGAGTGCTCTATGAACTAGCTTTAAAAAAAGAATATGAATAATAGTGAAGGGGAATATAAGGGAAGGGAGAAGAAATGTGTGGGAAATATCAGAAAGGGAGACAGAACATAAAGACTTCTAACTCTGGGAAATGAACTAGGGGTGGTGGAAGGGGAGGAGGGCGGGGGGTGGGGGTGAATGGGTGCCGGGCATGGAGGGGGACACTTGACGGGATGAGCACTGGGTGTTATTCTATATGTTGGTAAATTGAACACCAATAAAAATTAATTTATAAAAAAATAAAAATAAAAATAAATAATAAAAAAAAGACTATTAAAAAATCATAAGGGTACAATGAGCCACTGTTTCACTTCTCCTTATAGTATTTTTATTTACAGCAAACTCTAAGAGCAAACTTAACATATATTTCTAAATATCTATATTCAAATATATACATTTTATATATTATAAAAATTTGCAAAAAGATAAGCATATGTTTCAAGGTTATAAAATAACATGACAAAAATGTAAGGCAAAGATTAAAAAGAATAAAGGAATATCCAGTTTTCATAAGATATCTCCTTTTAACAAAAATGCATGACTAGTTTGTTTTAGTAATGTCAACAGGCCTCTGGGTGAGAAATCAAGGCCCAGATTCTTTCATCCTTCTGTATTTTTTTCTTAAAACCCAGTAAAAGTTTTTTTTCTGGCATATACATTCACACCCAGTCATGTATATATTTATATAACGACTATGACCAAAACAAAATGTTTTAGCTAAGTAAGCGCTTGTTTCCTATAGGCTCACTTATCACATCATCTAAAGACCAATATTATCATATGTTCTATGGAAATTATGACTACATATTTTCAGTACTAACTAAAAACCAGTAATTATTCATATTTATATATATGTTCATTCATATATATAATATTTATATATATAATCATTATAATAATAATAATATATATAATCATTCATATATAATTTTGGTAAAGACCTTTAAAGCCTTAAAGAGTGTTACTTGGCTCAGTGAATGATGTTGTACATAGAAAACCCCAAAGGCTTAGAGTTCTTCCATAATGTATCAGTGAACATTAAAAGATACTAAGCTATTTTACACATAAACTCACAATATCCCAATGAAAAAATCTTTGTGAATTCCAATTGCACTGTCAACAACTGAGTATCTAGTATTTCAGTGCCTAACCTGAACTATATAAAATCATTGAGAACAGCGTTCTGTCTTGAGCTATATATTCTAAGTCTTCTATTTGTTTTCATCTCATACCACAATCTATAGACATCTTAAGTACCAAACAAATACTTATTGATGTACTATTATTTAGAGGGATTATCTCTTCTTTTAGGAATATAAAATGCAAATCAAAAAGCCAATGAAAGAAGTATAAAGAAATTATAGAAGAACAGAGACAAAGTAGAACAAAAGAGAAATCAACATTTGAAGGAGAAAAAAATGAACAAAGAATAAAGGAAGGGCATGCCCTCCATGAAGGAAGCAAGAATGCCCTAGTTTTGTCACCATCCAAATTGGAGTATAAAATACACTTATTTAACTCAGTATTTAATGAATATTACAGTTCTCTTCTGACTTTATCTAATTCATGTGTGATGATGTGGACAAATAAGCAGTAAGTCCTCGTGCAGATAAAAAATTTATAATCATAATGTCCTAGTACACAAATTAAGGTGCTCTATATAACAACTTGGCTAATTCGTTTTATTAACAAGCAAAATGAGGGAGAGGAAATGGTTATGTAATCTGCCCAGGCAGAATCTGATACTAGGTTTGTTCATTCTGGGTGTTCTTTTTGGCTTTTCTGCAAGTATTCTTGTTTGAAGGTTTGAGGAAGAAAGAAAAATCGAATTAGCTGAGTCTCTGGGAATTAGCTAGATATAATGCACTCAAGTAAGCTTCCATTCTTAAATCACTTTTTTGGGTCAGGTACCCTGTTATCACTCTGTAATATGATTGCCAAAGTTCTTGAATATCTTTCCAATTGATTCTAATGTCCTCTGGGAAGGGACTACACGTTGCCTGACACATGGTGGAAACTCAATATTTATTGACTAAATCAATGTTTTTCAGCTAAAAACTAAAAGATAAAACCTACTGATAAGTAGAACCTAATCAACCTAGTAAATGAATGGAGAAGACAAATACAATCTGATACTTTAATATGTAGATTTAAGTGTTACATCATGAGACAAAATCTTTTCCAAACAATGCCTATGTAATAGTCCATTTTCAAATATAACAACTAGAACATTTCATTACCCAAATTTCTATGAAAAAAAAAATCTACAGAGGAATTTCTAAATGTCCTAAGACCTAAATCTTGGGTTTTTTTCTTTTTAATCTGTTTTCATTTAAGAAGAAGAAAGCATCTAAAACCACTAAGTTCTATTTTCTTACATTCCTATCACTTAAAAACAGATGAACTGATTTTTCCTTTTTGAAAAAAAAAAATGTGCTGGCTAGTAATAAAATTCAAAAAATAGAGATTCATGGTAGGAAACCAATTCACACTAAACCACAGCAAGACTCTTAAAAATAGGATGTTTAAGTTCTAGTTGCTTAATGTGGCTCACAGTCTAGAATAAGAGTATTTTTTAATTAAATATATTACACTTTTACTCACTTCAGTGCTTCCTCAAATTTATGGATTTTCTTTTGAGCATCTTCTTTCTCTTTATCAAGTTCACTCTCCAAGTCATGAATCTGCCATGATGAAGATATGTAAAAGTTATCAGAAGACAAGTACTCAGAGGAGAAATACAAACAATGAAATGGTCATCTTAAATCTATTTTTAATGTAAAATTAGATTTAGATATTTCAGGATAGAGACTTGTTTAGTCATAATCATTTACCATCCAACTATTTCAATATTATACTTCCAAAACCAATTTTCTGGTCAAAGTTAATAATTGTTTTGAGTCTACCTATGTGTGGATTTCCTGTAAAATAAACCGATACCTAAGAACTTCAAAAGGAGCAGTCACTTGTTAAGTTTTTTTTTTAATTTACATACTAGCCAAAGGAAAGGAATCTCACAAGATTCAGGAGAATAAATCATGTGTCTATATTTTGCAAACATATACAGGTTTTGATGAAATAGCCCTCTCTTCCACTATTGGGAAGGGTTTGTATAACCATTCACTGAGTTTGGGAGACAATCCCTCCACCATAAGGATCTCTTTCCTAAATGCAGCACCCTTTGAGTCAGTGGGATGGCGGCATGAATAATGAGGGCTAACCAAAACTTTCTCTTCACAGTAAACTTCACACGCAAATACAGATAAGCATATCCAACATGGACATTATATGGATCTGCAGGGAAAGGAGACTTTGGTATAGCTGGATGGAAAGAGAGGAGTAAAAGGGCAGCCATGCTTCCACACACAAGACAACTGAGGGTACAGAGCCAGCAGGTAGATAAGAAAATGCAAGTCACTTAGTGGGGCGAGGATACCAGCTGCATACATGCTGGCAAGCCAGATGAAGCTGACAGCGCCACTGGTGGGTACAGGGGATGGGAGAGGAGTGACAAGCACAAAACCAACAACAACAATACACATACCTACACACATACACATGCACTTTACAAACACTGACTCAGTGCTAGCCCAAAATGCCTGTACTTGGCTATTTGTATTAGTTTGGATGGAGACCTCCCCAAATCAAAAACCTTTTACTCTTTGACCTCTTCCTTTGATAATTCTCTTATGTTTTTCTCCTTTGGGTGCTTTAGTAAAACAAATACATAAATAAAATCAACCGTTTGTCAACTGAAAGGAGAAAGAGGAGAGAGGAAATCTACCATGAGTTTTTTTGTATTCTCATATTCCATGAGAATATCAAAAAGTTTCTACTGGCTACTGTGAGACAAAACTGGAAACACACAGGGTGGTAGCAAGGGTAGGTCCTTGGGAAAATAAAGACAAAGGGCCTCTCTCCATCATATTTTAAATGGTAAAACTAAAATACCTCATAAATACCTACCTTACTAAAACGAGAAAGAGCAACCAACCTCCCTGACAAAATTTTGCCATTACATTTATTTTACTTTACATGAGGAAAAAAGTCCACTGTCCAAAATTTTACCAGGTCCTAGACTCAAATTATTATCTTACTTATATTGGATTCCTGGTATGTGTTACAAGCTTAGCACATAATAGGAATGCTAAATCGGAGTGCATACATTCATTAATAAAGCAAGAGAAGCACCATCCCAACACTGATTGGTCTCTTTCATGTATGGAATCAAAGAAATTAAAGCCCCAAATTAAACTCAGAGATGACCCGATGTGGACATTTTGGAAACATATGTTTTTGTTTGTTTTCTTAAAGATTTCATTTACCTATTTGAGAGAGCAAGCCTGAGTGGGGAAAGGGGCGGGGAAAGGGAGAAGCAGACCCCTGCTGAGCATAAAGCCCATGTAGGGCTCGATCCCAGGACACTGGGATCATGACCTGAGCCAAGGCAGATGCTTAACTGAGTCACCCAGGCACCCCTGGAAACATGTTTTTATATCAGTTAAATCCTTTCTTGAAATATCTTAAGCAAAAAACCAAACACCAACTAAATAAAAACACAAAAGTTGGAGTAGAAGATGGGGGAATGACAGTTGAGAAGAACGTTAACATCTCCACGTTAATGTTTCTATTGTTTACACATGCTTCCCTATCCTTCTGTTTTAAGCTACCTCTGTTAATTAATTTTAAGTCTCTTATAAATATCACACAGATCTGGCTTTTGACCTAAATTATACATTTTCTTTTATTAGGGGAGATTATTGAATCTATTCCTATCACTACAATATTCTTATTTACACAATTTTTCTTTACGCTGTGATTTTTTATGTTCCTTTTTTATTCAGCTTTTTGTTGTTCCAAACTTCTCTAAAGTTCTGATAGATTGACATAGATACAGTCTTTAATTTCACCAGTGACACTATAAACATTTCACAATTATTTTTAACGTGTACTTCTCTAATAGTCAACAAGCAATAAACTAATTCTGTGTCCTATTTTTGTTAAATAATAGCTTAGCACATTTACCTCTTCTCCTATCCATTTTGTTTTTTTAAATAATCTGATTAATTTGATCCAGTCATTTTCACATTTTTTAACTACACATCTCTTCTCTCAAGATATTTTTCTGACATCTGCATTATTTTAAATCATGTACACAATAAACATTTAAATTAAATCCAACTATTAACTAAAAAATTTTAGTTAACTGTGGCATTCAGCACATTTCTCTTTTTATTCTTAATTTTTTGTTTTATTTGATTCAATGTTTTGCTTATCCTTAGGGGGATGAAAGTACATTTAATAGCAATTTTATTTTCAAAAGGAATATCTCAGTGATCTCTCTCTGAGACTACACGTCCACGAAGGTCAGCTGTTGCCTCTGCACACGAAGGAAAAGTGTGCATATGAGATTATCGAGTCACATTTTGGCCAAACAACAGAACATGTGTCACTCTGCTGTCTTAAGACATTTCGATTTGCAACCAAGGAAACTAAACTGACCTGACCTTTACCCCTTCTCACTCCAGCCTGAAGACTTATAAAACCACTCTCTGTACTGAGGCTCTCTTTGATGGTTTTTATCTGATAGAGGGTGAATCTTCTTAGTCTGTATCCACAGGCCTTCCAAAAAGTTCTTTCCTACCTATCTTTCTGTGTGAGTTGATTCTGAGCCCCCTTCAGCAATACCGATTGCTGTCTGCTAATTTTCTGTTTTCAGCGGTCGTATCTGATCTCCACAGTCCTCTGCAGTCTGCAGCATGGTGGTCTGTCCTCCACATCACTAGCTGGGCACCTGTCAGCAGTGGCTCTCCCCTTGCCAGCTGCCACAGGGACGTCAGCTCCGCGGTGGTGTCTCCAGGTTCTTCACACTCTTCATGTGGCAATTACCTCCACTTTCTCTCCATCCTGTTCCTCCTTCCTAGACATTGCATCTCCCAGTAATCTATGGATGAAGCTTTTTGATGCTCTCTTTTGGGGTAAAGGACAGAGCACACTCTTTCCTTTGCTCTGCATGGTTTTGCCACAGACCCCAGGATGGCTCTATACTAACTTGTAAACAGCACATTATTGTTCAGATTTGGTGCTTGAGCAAGAATGCAGGGCCACTGGCTCACTTCCTTCATGTGTCTGCTCGTAGGGCCTCCCACACGGGGCTGCAGCTCTGGCCTGGGACCCCAGGAGCCCCCCGGCCAGTGGAGAGAGGGGTTTCTCTCCACACCTCCTGGCCAGTTCTGCAGGACTCTGAAGCCAGAGGCCACGTGGGGAAGGCACAAGGAGCTGCAGGTGGAATTACCAGCCACTCACAACATCTACATTACCGAGACTGTCCTGCCAATGCACAGCACTACCAGGATCTTACCCTCTGTTCCCTGCTAGGTTTCTTTGTTTCCAGGACTCAGAACTCTCTGTGTGAAAGCATAACTAAGGTTTACCTCTTTAAGTTAAAACTTTAAAAAATTACCCATCTTTAAGGAAAATCTATCTGAAATTACATGGTGATTATGAGTGCGAGCCCAGGAGTCAGACTGCATGGGTTTCCTCCCTCCTCCTCCATAAATTACTTAACACTGTGCCTCTGTTCCATCCCCTGAAAAAATAGGGTTAACAGTAACTATATTTTAAAAGTTGTCATGGGTTAATAATAGTGTTAAGGTAATAAATTACTCCATGTAAAGCTCTTAGGACGATATTAGGAGCATAATAAACATTCCACAAATGTTAAAAATTATTACTATTATCTTCTTGGAGTGAACATACCTAAACATTTTATTGAAAAGTCCAGATCATTATGAAGACCCAAAGTGACAGTGAAGGCACAAACAGTAAATCCCTTACGTAGACTGGCTGCCCTTTCCGAAGACGGCTGCTGAGTTGCTAAGAATTGGAGCTCTTGTAAAAGTGCTTTTTATCACTCTCTGTTCAATCTTAACCTGTGTCAGGCTTGCAGCTGTGACTTCCTGATGCTGGTCAGTGTGCTAACAACACATGCACCTTGATCTGATTTATTGCCCCTAAAAGCACTGGAACCATTTCTGAAGCAGAAATGGGACTATATGAGGGGGAGAAGGAGAGACTTCCCTCTGTGGTAAACATACATGTGTTGATGTACAGACTTTTGACCTGAAGGGTCCTTAAAGCTAGAAGCTGTTTCTTCCTCATTTATTTCTATATCCCCAGCACCCAGCACAATACCTGGCCCACACAATAATTGTTTGTTTATCTGTGACTAATTGAATATACTTGTGTGGTTAAAAGCCTTGTTGGATTTTTAGTTTTTACCTATATTCCAGATAGTTGCCATGATAAAGATAATGCTGTCAATCCTTGTTTTTTAATGTACTCAAGGCAATGGAGAATAATCTGACCTGATCTTGTAATCCTTTCCCTACTCTATATGGTTAATACCAAAAATGAATTTTAATAACTTGAATAATGAAAATACAAACCAGAAAGTCAATGATGCAGCATATATTCCCCAAAATGAGGGTTTGTTGTAAATAATTGATTGAACTAGACATAAGCACAATTACTGAACATTAGTAAATGTATGTAAATATATGTAAAATGTATGTAAACATATGTAAAATATTATGAATATTTCCCTTGTAACCCAAGAATTTAAGTAATCAAGAAAGGAGTACTTATATAAGTAAGAAAGAGATTCTGCTCTGCATAAGGACAAAGATCCACAGTGGCAGACATCCTGGCCTAGGAAGGAGCAGTGAAATGCTGCTCACCTACATTATCGACTATCTGGCTAACTCCATCCTATCTCTAACTCAGCTTCCCTGCAGCAGAAATGTGGGCACTGGACTACACAACTTCTTTCCATAAGTCCTTTCACTGAGCAATTGCACTGTTTAAAACTCCACTCAAGGCAAGAAAATCATGCCTGTAGTGGTTGGAAAATATTACATGATATTTTATGTGTAAAACTGAACACTTTAACTTATTTTAACCTAATTAAAAGAATTATAAGCGAATGCAAAACACTGGAATACTATTTTTGATGGTTTTGAACTCCAGCAGACTTTATATCTCATCTGTTACAAAGTTACATTAGAGAAATTATAAGCAGGTATTTTAATTCTAGCACATTTTATAATATGCATGCTCAACATCTGTCTTATGAGCTTCTTTAAGTGAACAGCACCATCTTTCACTCTTTGGTGCCTGTTTGGAAAACAAGCAATAGGTTATTTGTAGGAGGCAGGTGTTTCCTTGCTAGTAAAATCATTTAGCCTAACCATTTCCTGATTTAACAGATTAGGACACTCCATCAAACAATGACATGTAGTTTTACTACCTATTATTTGTTTGATGTTCAAAGATCTTAAGAGCAGGCAATAGCCGCTGGAGATCAATAAAAACCATTAGATAATGTGTGTGTGCCTAAATTAGGGACAGCATTTGATGCTGTTTCTCTTACCTCAAAGACAAGTTAGGATCCCTCATGCTGCTTTCTTATTGGCGTGAGGAAATAATGTCACTCAGATGGCATTTCCTCCTCCCAAGCAGATATTCCAAACTAAGTTTTCTACCAAAAGTTATTGAATGTGCACACCTGTAACACTGGCTAACAAACAAAAAACCTATACGACACATTTAGCTACGGACTTCCAGAGTCCAGGACTATGTCAGACCTATGTCAGCTCACTGCGCAGTCAAAAAGGATATTCCCTGAGGGGGGTACGAGACATCCAATCTTCAAGGACTGAAATCACAGCAGGTTTAATAAAGAAAGAAGAACAGGTGTCAATTTAAAAGGAAGAGATTGTGGAATTAATTGTAAAACAAAAAGTGACATGCTGAGCAACATTTTCTTCCAGTATAAATAGTGTTAGAGGGATCCCTGGGTGGCGCAGTGGTTTGGCGCCTGCCTTTGGCCCAGGGCGCGATTCTGGAGACCCCGGATCGAATCCCACGTCGGGCTCCCGGTGCATGGAGCCTGCTTCTCCCTCTGCCTATGTCTCTGCCTCTCTCTCTCTCTCTCTCTCTCTCTCTCTCTCTGTGTGACTATCATAAAAATAAATTTAAAAAAATTAAATAGTGTTAGAACTAGAACATACGAGATGGAAACAAGAGCGCTTATTTTTCTTTTTAAGACTGCTAGTATTTTAAACACTTCTTTACACTGAAAACAACAGACTCTAACTAGTTACATTATTAAAAAGCTAAGGCCAACTGATACTTTGTAGAAAGGGAAAAGCTGTAGGTAGGATGCCTAACAAAAAGAATTTAGGTCCCTCCCTAAGTGAAATGGAACAGGAATGGGTGGAAGGTCCAGACAGGGACCAACTGAGTACTGACATTGTTTCTCAAGTGTGTCTGCCAGGCAGAGGGGCTGACCCAGAAACTTCCATGTCCTTTGTGGCTAACTGGCCAAGAAAAGACAGTGGTAGCAGAAAGACGGTCTCCCCAGCTCTCTAATAGTCCTCAGGAGGGTTTACAGGAGTTTGGGATAGGGACACATTTGTTCACAATTAGTCAATGCAGGCCTTTCTCTTTGCTACCTGCCTCTCTCCCTATCTCACAGGCATCCAGATACCATCTCAGGAAGAGGGCTGACCACAGAGTTTAATGAAGCAGGAGGCCAAGAAGGTGTTCCTTAATGAACAGGAAGCCAGACATCTGCCCAAAGAATGAACAATGGACTAATAAGGACACCCAGAGGATGCCTTATACAGTGGGGATAAGGCTTATAATAACGTATATCCTCTTTTTAGTAAGTAAAATATTTATGAAGCTGCATGGCTCAACAGTAAAAACTAAAAAAAAAAAAAATCTTTATTTCAATGAAAGCAGTATTTCCCTCTCTTGTTCAGATATCATTTTGAAGACATGAAATATATTTAAGACCCTGTATTGAGAGTATATTAAAACAGCAGCAAAACAAAAACAAAAAAAAATTTAACACTAAGAAAATTATAATTTTAAAGGTCATGTATTCAGATCAACATGTCAGTAGAAATATTCACTCTTCCAAATGACATAAACTTTCTTCCTAGACATTAAGCTCCTGGAAGGCAGTATCTGTGCTAATTCATCCTCAATCCTCTCCCCTATCCTAGCACCTCCTATGATATCCTGCCCAATGAAAGCACTTAATGAATATCTGCTGACTAAGATGAGATATACAAAGTGTTTTAAGAATGTTGTGCTACAGAGTGCATGGGTGGCTCAGTCGGTTAAGCAATCTGCTCTTGGTGGATTGCTCAGGTTGCTCACAATCAGCTCATATTGTGAGCTAGCCCCGCGTTGGGCTTTGTCCACACTTAGCACAGAGTCTGCTTGGGACTCTTTCCCCCTCTTCCTCTGCCCCTTACCCCTGCTCTCTCTCTCTAAAATAAGTAAATAAATCTTAAAAAAAATAACGTGCTATAGAACTTGTTTAATTTTAATTCATATTGCGTGAAGGGTTAATGTTTTACTCATTTTCCATTAAGTGGGTATTTTACAAATAGATTGATTTGGTTAATGTTACAACAGTAAATAATTACAAAAGTAACAATAAAATATTTGTTATTTCAACTATTTTACCTTCCATGTCATATAGCAAACCACAAATTCAAAACTGAAGTATAAAAGTCACAAACCTATAGAACTCTGCATTTTATTGCCAAAAGTGTTAAAGTATGTCAATAAACCCCCAGTTATTACTGATAACAGGGATGCCAGCATATGCAGTAGAATTAGTCACTGTTCTAAATGACAAGAAACAATTATTAATGAAATTTTTAAGTAGTAGACAATTCTTTGTTTTATATTCTTTGATTAAATATTCAGCATTATGACATATATGATACAACAGAATACAAATAGCTCCCATCAATTGTATCATATTTTTAAACTGGTAGAAAAAATATATAATTTCAAAGCATTATTATGTGAGTTTAACACCATAATACTCCTCATGCATTACATAATATACAAGGGGTGCTTTTACATTAATACAGTTCATAACCTAAAGAAGCCATTTATGAGCATGAAAAAATGAAGCAAAATTGGATCACTGGCTAGCTGAAATAAACTTAAGAAATTAATGATTTTTTAAGGCTAGAATGCATGGCTTCATAAAAACCAGGCCTCATTCTCAATTGCCTCATTGGCTACTTTAAATGTCTTACAGTGTCCCACAAAACATATTACCTTTTTCTCATAGGTGCGTTTTAAATGACTTTTCTCCATTTGAAACTTATTTTCTTGATCCTGTGAATAATAAATATTTACTTTTATTTGTACTTAGAGTTGCTACTAGAGTCAATACAATTTGTAATCTAAGGAAATCAATCTACCTGATGACAAACTTTACGAAAGTTTTATATATTGTTATGAGACCCCTACATGTCCAATCTTCTAAACTACAAATAGAAATAGGAGTAGCTTTATGTGAACGCAGAACACTAAACCTCAGTTATCTGAAGATATTACTACTCTCAAAAGGGCTTACTTTACAGTTTAAGAGAACCTTTCTGGCCCTTAGGACTAGGAGATTACTTAAAAGTAATCAACTAACTCAGTATAGAAATAATACATTTGAAATGATATCATCTGTCAGTCTTCGGCAATTTTTGACTATGAGAGAAAGGGAAAGATCTACAAAAGATGTGAGGGAGAAAGAGAAAGTATGGAGACTGGTAGAGAGTAATTTAAAGGAAGGAAATTCTAAAATAATAAGAAGGAAATTATTCTAAAATAATGTATTTAAATAAGGTTTATTTTTTAAATGAATCTAAAATGACTATTCAATAAAATTATTATCCTTTATTTTCTATATCCCATTAGCAGCTACTTTTGTTAAAATAAATAAAATGAAAAATGATACAATGCAACAAAAGAAACAAATGGCTACTTGCATATCTGTGGGGTTTTTTCTTAATTGACTCTTATTGATAGACACAATCAAGAAAAGGAAAGGTGAGTCTGAGCCACTGCTCTGAATAAACATATAAGACTCACCCTCAGTTGTTGCTTTCTTTGAAGTTCTGATTCCTGGAGCTGCTGTTTTAATTGACAGATGTTCTGTTCTAGTTCTTTCATCATACCAGATGCCTACAAGAATTTTAAGAATAATGAAAAACAGTACCATCCTAGAACTTCTGGTTGAATAATTTACTTTTTTTTCCCCCGATTAAACATTTAGTCAGGATTAAAATCATCTATAAATCTGAATGACAGTTTTTTTAGGTTTAAAAATTAATCTTTAAAGGCAAAATATAAATTCTGCACAGTACTTAAAGTTACAAAAATACAATACTAATGTAAAGATAACAGGCTTACAGAAAATCTTCTAAATTTTAATTTTAAAAGAAATCCACTGAATACTTAATTCACGAAATAATAAGTAACTGACTACCTTAGAATTGTAGCTATAGGATTCTCTTTGTGTAGAGTTTCAGTATCTGACACAAAAGTGTGTGGGTGCCAGTAAGGGTGTCTATGGGCTCCTGTATGTATGTGTATGTGACGACAGGAAAACTAAAGCATGACTAGATTTTAAAATAATAATAATAATGTATATAGTTACCCTAAAAAATGTATTATTAACACAATTGAGCATTTCTACTTGAATTTTTCTATGTTTTCTCCTTTAAAAAACTTTGGTACTTAAAAGGGTTAAATTATAGTAGAATTTAGTTCATTAAATATATTATGCTCTATATTAGATACATCACTTTCAGTATTTTAAATACCAATAATTCTTAAAATTTCAGTTATTTCAAGAATAAAGCAAAAAAAGAGACTAATTTCAAATGCCAAATTGTTAGCTTCCACATGGCCATCTATGGCTCTGTGCTGAGTCAGGTAAATAACTACTTTGTATGGCTGTATCTACTAGCATATAATACCTTAGAAGCGGAAAGAGCATGCTCCTTTTTCAGAAGATTTATATCAGCATCATATTTGGTTTGTAATAGTTTAATGTTTTGTTCATAATCATTTACGAGATGATCTTTCTCTTTATGCAGTGTGTTGCGCCTAAAAGCAATGAGAATAAAACATACTTCCAATGCATTTAGAATATCTAAAATGAAATTTTTTAGTGAACCAAATTCAAATGAATTATCTTTCAATATATCCAGTAAGTATTCACATTTTAATCACCTGTTCTTAAACATTATGCTTCTTATATTAAATAGGACTTTAAAAATTAACAAATGGCAATATTTATGCTAGAAACTGCCCAAGGTTAAATGCACAGGTGTGATTAACTTTATAAATAACTTTTAGAGTTAATATCAGTACTTTACAGCCACACCTGATAGATATCTGACTTTAGACAATACCTTGCCTTTACTTCTTGTAATTCACTACATGTTATCTGGTAACATCTTTCAAGTTCCAATTTTTCTTGAATTAATTTCTGTCTCTGTAAGTTACTGTTCTCCGCTTCTCCAGTCAGCTGCTGGACCCGGGACTCCAGTTCCTTGACTACCTGGTTCTGAAAGAATAGGTCAATGTTAGGAAAGCCTCTGACTGACTTTATAACATTTCTGTATCATTAAGTAGCCTGAAGAAAATATATACCCTATTAGAGATAAGAACACAGAAAATAAATGTATCATAAATCATACTGGTAAAAATTAAACCAACCTCTAATTCAACAAAATCTTTAAAAAAAAAAAAGAATACTTTCTCCCATAAGAGTAAGACCATCATGCTCACGTGCTTTTAGCTATTCATTCATTCATTCATTCAAAAAATATTTACTTACCGAATCTGATACTATTCCAGCATCTACGGACAAACCAGGAAGTAAGAGAGATGAAGTCCTTATCCTCACAAAGGTTACATTCTCTTTATGCAACTATAAATGTGTATTTGTTAGGTAAGTACTTGGCAATGTTCTTTAGGCTTCACTTGAAGTTCTAGAAAGTTCTTAAAATTTTTATTTTAAAAAGTGATACCTATATTATCACATAAGTGTATAAAAATATTTTATCACATAGTTGCAGTAATAGTGAGTGAAATTGTTTCATATTTTTATTTACTTACCATTTTATCAAAAGCAGTGCATTTTCCAAAGTCTTCCAAAATCATCACATAATTAAATCATTCCCCTACTCTATGATGTTTAAGTTACTTGGAATTTTTCATCATTATAAACCTAGATCAAGGTGTTTATGACTAGATACTTTATCTAAAATTAGGGTAAGCAGGCATTAGCTGATAGGACAATTGATTTTCATTTTAACAATTACACTCCCAGTAAGTGTGAGCAATTAGAAAAGGTTAGGATGATGTTCCAATCAATTGGTATCCTTTTATACTCATTCTAAGATAAACATTTAAAATAAAGTTTAAGCATTAAAGATTATTACAACCCCCACATTCTTTATTCATTCCATCCTTTCTTCATTATAATATGAATTTAGATATATAATTTAAATTTTGGAAGCAACAGCTTCTGAATTTGAGAAAGGAAAATAATTATATCTAATGCAAAAACATGGTATATATGTAGGGTATACAGAAAATACATACAATTCCTAGCCCAGAGTCTGACACATATCAGATGCTCAGATTTCTTCTCCATGGATCCTATTCATTCTGCCTCATTATTAATGATCCCTCGGCTTTGGAAGTTCCTTTTAGAAGACAGCTCAATTTTCCAATACATATTCTAAACTCTCCTTGTTTCCTAAATATCGATTGACTGGAAGAAACAAAGAAAAAAATACATCCTTGGCCTTCCAATTTTAAATGGCAGAATAAAAATGATTTTTATTCTCTCTCCTCTTTGGAAATGACCCAAAAGAGACAAGATATACTAGAAACAGAAATGAAACTCTGTCTTAATAAATCTTAGCAGAGGAATTTCTAGCTCTGCGTAGGAAGGAGAAGCTTGCTGCAGATCACACTTGCACTGAGAACAACTGAAAAACCCAAAAGACACTAAGAGAAAATCAATTTGAAAGCATGAGAGAACCTCCAAGGCAGCAGCAAGGACTTAAGAGGGCCAGAAAAAAACTTCAGGGAGGTGAGACAACATTCCATAAACTACTTTTACCTCTGAGGCATTCTGCAGTCTCGGCAAATGAGGATGAGGAAAGGCAGTAGAGCAGGGGGTGGGCCTTGGCAGCCAGGACTTGAGGAACCAAGATCCCTGAGAGAAGGGGGGCACCACACAAGCAGTCTTCTCCTTAAGGAATTTGCCAAATTGCTAACACTTACAGGGCAGACAGGAAAGAAACCAAGAGAAAATGTTCTGAAATGCAGACTAGAGTTTTCAGCAGTGTCACTGGTAACATCAGAGACTTTCACCTTCAACTGTGTAGAAGGCCTCACCAGAAGTAGGACTGAATCAGATGTAAACCAAGGACTACAACCTAGCCTTGAGTTACCTTGGTCCCTGAATGTGTCAAGGGGGAGCTGTCACTACACCAGATGCCTCTCAAAGGTTAGGGTGGCAGCTCTCTGAAGGAAGATACCATCATCCAGAGCATTTATTATCTTTCATACACAATGTCTAGCATTCAATCAGAAAATACCAGGCATGTAAAAAATCAGAATCAAAAGGGAAAAAAAAACAGAAATCAACATGTAGAATGGCCTAGATACTGAAATTTAAAAATCTATCAGGAATATGTTATATAACTCAAAATATATGAGGAAGGTCTGCAAAATGAAATGATTACATAGAATTGCAGGAATATTCCAAGAAAGCACAACCCATGGCTGGAGATCTTAGATAATATCATCAGAACATAGCTATCCAAACTAAGTGGGATGCAAATAATCTGTTGCTTGGTTCAACAATAACTTATATACAAGTTGTGACTATAGCATCTCTGAACATAATGTGGCATGAAAGAATAAACACGAAAGTCTGGGCTAGGTGAAAAATCACAGAAATCCACATCTACAGGAAGCAAATTATGACTGAGGTCAATTCAGGGAAATAAACAACAGTATGAGAAGACTTACAATGATTAGAAAGAATAATAAATGCAACAGAACTCACTCATATATACTCCTACAGAGTAAGACAGTTATTCATTTTATTATTTTTTATTATTATTTTATTCTTATTATGTATTTTTAAGGCATTTTCTTAACACTCATGGTATCTTACATAAAATAGACCCAAAGTAAATAAAATAAATTTAAGGGAAAGCATATAGACAAAAATTGAAATACCTTAAGGACAACAATATTTAGGCAAAGTAACCATTTTTTAAACTGAATACAAAGAAGTGGAAAGAATACAAATAACAGAAGCCTCAAAATGGGGTAAAAAGTCATGCGGGGAAAAAAGATGCCGTCAAATCATTACTTTGCAGGCTGTGACAGTGTAGAGGGGAATTCCAGGTAGGGAATAATAGGATCAAGGAAGGAACAAGTAACTGTATAGTTAACGACAAAGAGATTACCTTGTGTGCTAAGAATACCTTCCCATATTGTGAATTCAAAGGTGGCGCTCGAAAGAGGGGGCTGCAGTTCCTGAATGGGCATGGCTTATAAGCAGAACTTTTAATAGGCATTAGATTAGTAATTAAAGTTCTCAATCATGGGTAAATGGGACAAACTGCATTTGTGGGATACAGAACAAGAGGAGACAAGGAAAGCAACTAGCAAGTTACTAGAAGGGTCTTAGAATGAGGCAACAATGGCCTGAACTCAAGTGGTAGCTGTGGAAACAGAAGGGAAGAGAGAAGATCCAAGAAAATGTTTGGAGTAGCAAATAATAGTATGATTAAGTAAAAGACCAAGTAAAGGAGATGACAAATGGCAAGAATTATAAATCTTCCAGGCTCAAAATCTAATATGCCAAGAGTATTATAGCACAGGGAATTAAGAGAAAGCTCAGCAAAGAGTTCTGCTTTGGTAGGAAATAAAAACAGGATTTTCAACAAGTTACATATTAGGCAATTATAAAATAACCAATTGGCCTTCAGTTATGCAACTGATAGAATAAGACACCAGGACTGGAGATACAGATGTTGGAATTTTACACACAAACATTTGAAATCCGATAGGAGCTAAAAATTAGAAAGGGTAACTCAGTAACTATTTAGAGTAGCAAAAAGAGTGACATATTTTATCTTATGTCTTAAATTTATTGAAATATGCCAAAAGATATACAAATTTTAAGTATACATTTTAATAGCTATTTACAAATTGAAAATATCCATGAGCCACTACAAGATGTACACATGATCAGCCATTCTGAAGCCTTATTGTCATCCTCTCCACAAAGGCAATCACTACTCTGAATTCCATCACAAAAAAATTAACTTTGGTTTTGTAGAGTTTCCTATAAATGGAATAATAGAGTACTCTTTCGGGTCAGGCTCCATCATGCATATGGTATATCTAAAAGATTCATCCATGTGATGGGGTATAGTGTAATTAAAACATTTTCATTGCTATATATAGCTCTTCCTTGTGTAAATATACACAAAATAATTTACCCATTTTATTGATGGGCTGTTTTCAGTGTCTGGCTATTAAAAATAATGTATATAGTAACTTTCACAAATATCTTACAGTACATATTTATGCACTGATTTGTTTTGGTTATACTTCCTTTTTTTAAATTTATTTTATTTTATTTATTTATGATAGTGAGAGAGAGAGAGAGAGAGAGAGAGAGAGGCAGAGACACAGGCAGAGGGAGAAGCAGGCTCCATGCACCGGGAGCCCGATGTGGGATTCGATCCCAGGCCTCCAGGATCGCGCCCTGGGCCAAAGGCAGGCGCCAAACTGCTGCGCCACCCAGGGATCCCCTGGTTATACTTCCTGTAGTGAATTTGCAAATGATTTGAGTCACAATTGATTTGAAAACTATGCCTGCAAAACGCTCTAAGTGAATATTTATTCACTGCCAAAAACTGGACATAAACTAGATGTACTTCAATAGATAAATGGATAAACAAACAATGGTACATCCATATAACTGAATGTTATTCAGCAATAAAAAGAAATGAGCTTTTAAGCCACAAAAACACATGAAGAATCCTTAAGTGTATAATTGCTTCGTGAAAGAAATCTGTCTAAAAAGGATACATACTGTATGATTCTAATTACATAACATTTTGAAAAAGACAAAACTATGCAAACAGTAAAAAAAAGATCAGTGGTTCCCAGGGATTCTAGGGAGAAGGGCTAGGGATGCAAAGACTACAGCACAGATGATTTTTTAGAACAGTGAAAATATGTATGACATTATAATGATGGATACGAGAAGATTTATTTGTCAAAGCACATGGAATTTTAAAGCACAAAAAAAAATGAACCCTATGTTATGCAAAGTTAAAAAATCATTTAGAAATTTGGGAATCTCAGAGAAAAAAACAGGCTATGACAAGAATATCTGGTTATATTACAAATATATGAAAAACACTCATTGAAGGGATGGGGGAAAGGTGACAGTCTAAGCAATTTAAAAATGAGTGGAATTTGTAAGACCAAAAGCAAAAAGTAACTGCTCATAAGCAC